AATAAGAAACAACACTGGACAAGATAGGTCCGCTAGAGTAGGTAGCGGAAATATTTTATTGTGGGAACTTCGATTAGATCATAGCGAATTTAAATGACAAGATTGGTTAAAATGAAAACATTTCACACAATAATCAAATCCTAACTAGCCATGTACTCTGAGGGGTACATTCCTTTATTCAACAACAATACAAGCATTGCTACAGTAGCAGTGTCAACTGCGATCCTTTGGTTGCCGTGTCGCTGCTTGTAAATGTAGCGACAGTTTCAACCGCTGAAGTACCTCACAACTGTTTGGTCCAAGTAAGTCAATCGTCACGACAGTTGACCCCCGGGTGTTGATCTGCGTGCCCTGTATGGGCTAGCGCATGAGTATTTCAGGTGCTACCTTGATAGTAGCAGGTGCGATAAGACTGCACCTTCTGGCATACTAAATGTAATTCTCGCCTTACACCAATACCAGGCCCTCAGATTGGTTTTAGGGCATGCTGATGATCAAAAGGAACCTCAATGCATTTTCGGATGAATCAACCCTAAACACAACTTGTCAGGTGGTTAGGGTCGATCCGTTCCCAAACCACATCCAATTCCGATTGGGTTTTAGGTTTCTTAGAAGTTAGCTGATTGGTTGGGCTCGCGCGGGAATTTTGTAGAGTCTCAAGAAGTTTTGGCGGGAGTTACATGTGAGACCATTAGCGTGATTTCTTACCTATTGTTAGTGACTGAATCCGGGACCCCACATACCAAACCCGTCAGCAAACCCGATACAGTGACCGTACGCGTTATTGTATTACCATTCACGTTATCGAGTCCCATGTTGGTTACTTGTGACATATTTCCCCATTCTTCAGGGTACTCTTATACTTTAAACTGGAAAATCAGTACAAACATAAAGAAGATACTGAAATTTCAGGGAATACGAATATCACAGCTACAAAATCAGCCTAATCAGCGTGTTTTACGCTGATATCTCAGAGCCTGACCAACATGCTATCAGAATTGCATTCATTGCCTATAAAATGACCAATTCTTTAGGAGGAAGGGAGTCTTATAATGTTAGCCCCATTTAGGGGGTTTAATTACAAACGACCTATTTAGTGTACCCCCCTCCGTATTATAGACCTAGGGGTCTACAACTGGAGGGGGTCTTATATCCAGGGTATTACGATAACTACATTTTAGAAAGCTTGCTTTCTTGTTGTGGCAATGGCATCGTCTCATTTCAAATGGCATAGTACAGACATGTCCAAGGTAGCATGCAATCATTCTAAAACAATCAACTATCCATGAATGGTCCCAGTTCTACGGGGTGGGTGGGCTGGAAACTAGGCTAAGCCGTTTGAAAATGAAAGACGTGGGTGGAGGGAAATGACATCCAGCCCACGTTTTGTACTCCAAAACGGGCGTTTAGCGCGGTTCGCCGATGGCCATTGCTACATTACAAGCCGCTTTGCTTTCAAAATACAAAATTTTGAAAAGCGTTACAGCTTTTAAAAATATTCATATTTTAGAAAGCTTGCTTTCTTGTTGTGGCAATGGCATCGTCTCATTTCAAACAGGTCTTCTGAGACATGTGTCTTGTTGGGCGCCGTTGGCGCGCCACTGTCGTGGCGTGTTGAGCGGGGGAGAGGGATCGTGTTGGGTCATGGACTTACTTTGAAGCCCCCACCAGTTGGTCTGCGGCAGGCGTAATGTATGTCTCCTTAACGGTGTCGCTGCTCCACCTTCCTAGCCGCTTCAGGATGCGGTCTGATATTTCGGCGTTGGTTGCGACGGTCGCTGCTCCTTTCCGAAAAGAGTGGGTGCCGAGGTGCTCAAAATTAAGACCGGTTTTGTTAAAGGCCTCTTTGCACCAGTTGCGGATTGTGGTGTAGGATGGCGACTTGGCGGCACCGCTTTTCCCACCCTCTATTCCAAAGACGCGGATGAGTGGACCTTGTTGCGATTGATCGTATCTTGCTAGGTGTATGAATCGTTTGGTGCACCGAACTGGGCAAAAAGGGCCCGGGCTTCTGCTACCGGGACCCATGTGCCTTCTCCCGCCTGATCCGTCTTGGAACGGGGGATTAGTAACCACATGACGTCCGGCTCAAAATGAATCTCATGCCAGTTGATGACTGCAAGGTCGGAGTAGTGCAGAAACCCGGCGTACATTATGATCGGTATTAGACCCTTCTGAAATTCGCGAGGGTTGTCTGACTGTAGAAATTCTGATGCCATCGTGTGAACTTGATGAAGCGACACGGGTTCTTTGGCCCGGGTAGGGTGCGGACATCGCTTCTTCGCAAAATCTCTGACTTGCAAGATGAATGCGCCGATAGACGGGCATGATGCCCCGATCGAGCGATGCGCGAAGCTGACTGCAGAGCATGTCAACTGAATTGCAGACACCGTAGCCTTGTGATGAATGGCGTGGACCAGGTACAGCGCGAGCGTCATGTCAGTGCATGGGAGGAACTTGAGCTTGTGGTGTTGGTAAAAGGAACGGAACTTGACCCAGTAGGGCTCATATGTACGGATTGTGGAGTCGGCCCAAGTTTGCGTGGTTATCTATAGTAGCCGATGCTTGAGTTTTTCCAGCAATCCTGCATTGTGTGCAAAAGTAGTTTGCAGGTGAATGACACGCGTAGTGCAGCCATACGACTGCACGGCAAACCGTCGCCGGAGAAAGCGCTGGAGTGATTGCCTGCCATCAGGCACTGGCTACCGTGCGTGAGGTGGAGGTGGGTGTGAATGTAGGGGGCCCATTGAGGGGGGGAGGGTTGCAGTAGGGGCCACCAACTTGCGCCAGGCCAGTGAGGCATGACGAGAGTGATGGCAGCGTGAGTTCGTTTCGCGTGGTGGAGCACTGCCGGGATCAAGTACGGTGGTGGGAATGCGTATCACTGCTCGGAGGTCCATGGGATCGAGTATGCGTCAACTGCCGCTGCGTCTAGGTGCGGTGTTTTGGAGCAGAACTGAGGTAGCCTGGTATTGCTCCCATTTGCGAATAGACCGATTAAGTGCGGGCCTAGGCAGCGCTCGATGAGCCGGAACCAGGGTGTCTTTGGTGAGTGGTCGTCACGATCGAGCGCCTTGGAAATTTCATCTGCCCATGTGTTTAGTTCGCGCGGGATCCATTCGACCATGAGCCGAATCGGAAAGGTCATGCATGTTTGGATGATTAACTTGCATGTCGCTGTAAGGTTGGTGTGCCTTGAACCACCTTTTCGGAGGATGAAGAAAACGCCTTGGTTATCGGTCCTTGCGAGGACGTGTCGGTCGTGGATTCTTTCTGAAAATGTTTGAAGTGCCCATAGAACGCCATCTATCTCTCGCTGCGTCTGGATGCCTCTAGCAGGTGCTTCGGCATTTCCGCACTTGCCTCGATACGCCGCCATGGGAACTTGTCCAACGTCGCTCCCCAACTGTGTGCGCTGGCATCCACATGGATCACGGCATCGTAGCTGTTAGGGATGTGGAATGGGGCGCCGCTGAATTTGTCAAACTCGTGGCGCCAAAAATCCAGTTCTTCAATGGCCATAGGGCCCAGTAGCACTTTACTATTCCATGATGGTGCCTGCTGGATTGCCTGCAGTAGGCCTTGACTGAATGCTCGTGTCGTCGCCCCAAGGGCCAGTGACATGGTGCTAGCATGCCGGTGACTCTGGCAATGTGATGGACTGGGACCTTGCGTTCTGCCTTCCCTTTGAAGAACTTTGGAGGATGGAGAGTAGTGAGGCTCGATGTTCAGCACCGAAAGCGAACTCGCCACGGTCAGTGTCTAACTCGACGCCCAGGAAACGCAACTGCTGGGTCGGTTGCAGATGCGACTTTTTCGAGTTGATCACAAGCCCTGCCTTGTTGAGGTCATGTATGATTGATTGACATGTGGCTCGTGCTTCCGTTTCTGTGTCACAAAGGAAAAGGATGTCGTAGACATAAGGAATGACCCCGTATGCCCATGGCTCGCCAGCGTCGAGCGGGTTGTTTGATCAGTTGTGTAAAAACGAATGGGGTCGTCGCGAGGCCGAACGGGAGCAAGCGGAATATGTATGTCTTTCCGTCGAATCAAAATCCCAGGTACTTCCAGCACGATGGGTGAATATCAACGTGGTGATACCCAGCCTTTAGGTCGATAAAGAACATCCAATCGCCCAGGCGAGCGATCTTCGCAACCCAATTGAGCCCCTCGTACTTGAATTTTGGAATGCGCAGGTGCAGGTTCACTTGGCGGAGGTCGAGGATCCGTCGGCATTTCTCTCTTTGGACCACCACGTTGAGTGGGCTAATATATACGGGCTGAGCCGCGGGGGCAAGAGCAGCTGCGCCGCTTTCTAGGAGCTCGCTAATGGCCTGTTTGGTGAACTGGGCGTGGATCTGTGCGCCCACGTGATTTTCGCGCTAGAACGGCGCCAGGGACACGAGTTCCCACGGCATCCAGTAGCCGTAAAGTATCAGTGAGAGTATGAAGCTGCTTTCGCACCATGAGCTCCACCATGGGAATGCCAAGCGTAGCCGATCGCACATCCTTATGACGAGCTTATCTGTGATTGCGTATTCGTAGGGGATGTATCGCTCGCCCATCCCGCCATCCGGTGGATTTGTGCTACGGGTCGCAAAAAGGGCACAGGCTGTGAGTATGATTTTTTTGTTTTGTTTTTTTTTTAATGTATGAGCGCTATTTGTTATTAATACGAGTGCATGTACTAGCGAACAACGGAGCAGTGTATGGCCGAACCCTCACAAGGTAGGCCATTTACACACCCTTCCCCTTCTCTTTCGTATTGATTCGTTCGCCTCTCTCTCCCCCCGCCCCCCCCCCCCCCCCCCCCCTCCCCCCCCTTTTTTTTTTTTGCCTTTCATGTTAAAATATATTTCTTATATAAACTGCTTGTAGCAGTAGTTAGTGTAGTGTTACATTGTTTGGTGGTGCACCTTGCTTGCTTTGCCTATATCCTTGTACCTTCTCTCTTTATTGAACCTCTCTTTTCTCCTTACCAACTCTCTCGACCTTGTGGCCTAGGCTACTAAGCCTAGGCCCTAATACTCCTTCTCTCAACATGGTATTCAGAGTAGGTACCTTCCTGCTGCCTTCCTTAACGGGCCCACCAATTTGCTTCCGCTGCCTATCGTCCTGCCGTGCGCCTCGGGCGCGCGGCGTATTTTTCTTGCCGTGTGCTCGGGGCGCACGGCGGTTTTCTGCCCTCCGTGCGCCCTGGGCGCGCGGCGTCTTCCTGCCCCGCGCGCGGCCTGCCCTCACGCCGCCTGCGCGTCTGCCTCACGTCCACGCGCGGGCCTGTTCTGCCCGCCCGTACCCTCCACTTCGCGGCGCCCTGCGAGGCGCCGCTCCTGCTCGTCGCGACGCACCTGCGGGACCCGGGCGTCGCCGCTCCTGCTCGTCGCGACGCCCCTGCAGGACCCGCGCGGCGTCGCCCTGCTCGTCGCGATGCCCCTGCGGGACCCGCGGGGCGTCGCCACTGCTCGTCGCGGCGCCCCCTGGACGCCGCCCCTTGCTCGTCGCGGCGCCCCTTGGGCGCCGTCCCTGCTCGTCGCGGCGCCCTCCCCCCTGGCCACCGCCTCTGCCTCACCTGCGCTCGCGCCAGCTTTGCAGCCGCGCGCGGGCCTGCCATGCACCAGCGCCGCCCCTGGAGCAGCTGCCCCTGGACCCTGGACCAGCCGCCGCCGCCCTTGGAGCAGCCGCCCTTGGACCCAGAGCAGCCGCCCCTGGCCCCTGGAGCAGCCGCCCCCGGTGTAGCAGCCCCTGGACCTCCGCAGCCGCCCTTGGCCCCTGGTGCAGCCGCCCCTGTTGCAGCCGCCCCTGGACCCAGAGCACCCGCCCCTGGCCCCTGGAGCAGCTGCCCCTGGTGAAGCCGCCCCTGGACCTCAGCAGCCGCCCCTGGACCCCGCGGCTCCGACCCTGCAGCAGCCCGCAATGCCGCCCCAGGGACCCCGCGAGCCGCCCCAGCAGCAGCCCACGGCGCCGACCCTGCAGCTGCATGCGCCGCCGCTCCTGGACTCGGTACGGCTGCCTCCCTGTGCTGCCTGTTGCTGCCCGTGCCTGTGCTGCCCGTTGCCGCCTGTTGCTGCCCGTGCCTGTGCTGCCCGTTGCCGCCCGTTGCTGCCCGTGCCTGTGCTGCCCGTTGCCGCCCGTTGCTGCCCGTGCCTGTGCTGCCCGTTGCCGCCCGTTGCTGCCCGTGCCTGTGCCGCCTGTTGCCGCCCGTTGCTGCCCATGCCTGTGCTGCCCGTGCCGCCCGTTGCTGCCCGTGCCTGTGCTGCCCGTTGCCGCGCGTTGCTGCCCGTGCCTGTGCTGCCTGTTGCCGCCCGTTGCTGCCCGTGCCTGTGCTGCCTGTTGCCGCCCGTTGCTGCCCGTGCCTGTGCTGCCCGTTGCCGGCCGTTGCTGCCCGTGCCTGTGCTGCCCGTTGCCGCCCGTTGCTGCCCGTGCCTGTGCTGCCCGTTGCCGCCCGTTGCTGCCCGTGCCTGTGCTGCCCGTTGCCGCCCGTTGCTGCCCGTGCCTGTGCTGCCCGTTGCTGCCTGTTGCTGCCCGTACCTGTGCTGCCCGTTGCCGCCCGTTGCTGCCCGTGCCTGTGCTGCCTGTTGCCGCCCGTTGCTGCCTGTGCCTGTGCTGCCCGTTGCCGCCTGTTGCTGCCCGTGCCTGTGCTGCCCGTTGCCGCCCGTTGCTGCCCGTGCCTGTGCTGCCCGTTGCCGCCCGTTGCTGCCCGTGCCTGTGCTGCCTGTTGCCGCCCGTTGCTGCCTGTGCTTGTGCTGCCCGTCGCCTCCCGTTGCTGCCCGTGCGTGTGCTGCCCGTTGCCGACCGTTGCTGCCCGAGCCTGTGCTGCCCGTTGCCGCCTGTTGCTGCCCCTGCTCTGCTTCTCGCTGTTGCCCTGCACGCATGGCTGCCCTGCCCTGCCCGTGCCTGTGCTGCCCCTGCTCTTCCCCCCCCCCCTTTCTTCGTCTCCCTGCTGCGCGTGCAGCCGTGGAACGGAGGCTATGGGGGTGGCGGGTATGGGGGTGATGGGTGTGTGTGATCGCCTTCCCCTCCTCCTCCTTTCTCTCCCACTGCTGCAACTGCTGCTGGGGGGGGTGGGTGTGAGGGTGTGGGGGAGCTGGGGGAGAGGTGCTAGGGTTGTCGAGGAGTGTGGAAGGGGGATTTGGAGGACTGGGGAAGGTTCCAGGAAGCAGCCGCCTTGGAGCCAGCTGCTTCACCTGCCAGCAGCTTCTCCTCATATAGTCCCTCCTCCTCACTTGCCCTCTCCTTTTGCTGCGCTTGGTGTACCCCTTCAGGGGGTGTCTCTGCATTAGCTTCCTGCTGCAAGCAGTTTAGGGGGTGTGTTAAAATATATTTCTTATATAAACTGCTTGTAGCAGTAGTTAGTGTAGTGTTACATTGTTTGGTGGTGCACCTTGCTTGCTTTGGCTATATCCTTGTACCTTCTGTCTTTATTGAACCTCTCTTTTCTCCTTACCAACTCTCTCGACCTTCTGGCCTAGGCTACTAAGCCTAGGCCCTAATACTCCTTCTCTCAACATTTCAACGCCTAATATACAGGACCTTAGGCTTGCCGTATGTGCACCCGAGGGCTCTCGATGTTCGACGAGCTCGGGGTGGGCTACAGGATTGTGCTACACTCACTTTTTATGATAACATGTCTCGTATCGTAGGCTCTTTGCCCATCATGACAATTGCGCGTAGTAATATGCTTCCCCCACCCTTTTTTTTTTTTTTTTTTTTTTGGGTCTGGCCAGCGGCCTAAGCACACCATGTTGCCCATGCAATGCGCTCTTGGCGCCCCAAGTGGTTTCCCTCTCATAGGGTCACACCACGGGCGCAGGTCCTTGGGCTCCTCACCCATTATCGGGACACACATTGGCCATGTTGCCGGGCTGTCCGCACTTGAAGCAGGTTCCACGAAAGCTCCTGGTGTTGTTGTCCATTGGTGGCCCGCGTTTGTTGCCAAATGCACCGGTTCCTCGCCCTCCACCTCCTGCGGCGTGGCCGAGGTTGCCTTGGGCGCGTTCCATGGCCGCAACGTCTGCCATGGCTTGCTTGAATGGGCACGAGTTGAATAAGCTCTTCTCTTCATACATCCTGAACCAGTTAGCGACGCGGAAATTCGTGTAATCGGCGACGTGGAGAAGCTTGAAACAATTGTTGACGAGCGAGAGCGCCTCCTCGAGGAGTTCGATGGCGCTTGCCGGTTCGTTGAGCCGCACTTTCTGCTCCGCATGCATCAGGTAGGCGCGCAGGTCCTCAAGGAGCTCGGCTTGTTCACGAACAGCCGCGTTCTTGAAGGAAGATACGGTGAGGTTAGGGTTGGAGGTAGAGAGGGGGGGGAGGTGCTCGGTGGTTGAAAAAACTGCATTATCGGCAGGTGCCTCACCAGATTCGTCGTCAGAAGTGTCGCTGTCGGCAGGAATTTCTGGGGCCCGGGGTAGCTTTGGCAGTGGTGCCCTCGGCGCGTGCGATTTTTGCCGTGCGAGCGCGTTTCACCGTCTCCCTTTTTTCCTTCTCGCTTTTAGCTGACATTGACGTTGCGTTTGGTGTAGCGGTGGTTTCCGTAACTGCGGGGGCTTGCTACTGTAACAGGGACAACAGATGCTGCAGTTGGGCCGATGTGAAGACAGGCGAGGCCACAGGCGCATCAGGGGCCTGAGGCGCGTCAGCGGCCTGAGGCGCGTCAGTGGCCTGAGGCGCGTCAGCAGCCTGAGGCGCGTCAGGGCCCACGTGCGCCTGAGGCCTCGTGTCAGGCGCGTGTGCCTGCCTGCGGCGGTGACGCTGACGGGGGGTGCCGGTCGTGCTGGCCGGCGTTGACTTGGCGCCCTTGTTGACAACTGGCACCTCAGGCCCCTCAGGGGCCACTTACGCTCGAGGCACCCCAGGGGCGCGTGCCCCGGCGACGTCGGACAGCAGAATGTCGACGGTCGTCGGGGTCGACTCCTCGTCGTCTGCCCGACGCTTGTTCCGGCGTTCGCCCGCGGGTTCACGGGTAATTTTTTCGTTGTCGGGACGAATTGAAGCGTTGGCGTTGTCACCGTTCTCGCCGTTAAGTGCCATAGTAGCCGTGTTGTGAGCGAAAATGTCCGAAAGGAGTGTGGATGGGGACCGGAAATGAGGTAGTGACTTCAATTTCGCCAGCTTGGAATTGGGAACTCGAAAACTAGGCTACGCCGTTTGAAAATGAAAGACGTGGGTGGAGGGAAATGACCTCCAGCCCACGTTTTGTACTCCAAAACGGGTGTTTAGCGCGGTTCGCCGATCATCATTGCTACATTACAAGCCGCTTCGCTTTCAAAATGCAAAAATTTGAAAAGCGTTACAGCTTTTAAAAATATTCATATTTCAAGGGTATTCACCCGATGTTGACGGGTCAAGATCTTCTCAGACACAATCAGATGTACACGGAACATTTGTGCCCTATTGCATCGTTATGTGTTTTTCCATTCAACAATAATCTTTAATGCTGCTGAAGGGGAGATTTCAACTCTCTCTTTGACTTCCACCAGCAGATTTGCCCGCAATTTCGAAATACAAGCAGATATTTCCACTGCAAAGGCATGTTACAGTGAAAGTACCACTAGAGATGTGAATGGAAAACGCTCCAACTCCCTTCAAGCGCCAAAAAAAGTCACTATGGTACACACAGCCAATTAAGCTCTACATTGTCTGAGCATGCCCTTCCGTTGTATTCAATGAACATTGCAGCTGGTCCCGTTTTGGTTCCACCGAAAAAGCTGAAAGCACCCGGGCATGTGAGCAAAGGAGACACCACCTTACGCCTGCCAATCTTGCAAGTGTAAGCATTGATGGACTCGTAGTCTGCCTTGAGACAAACCTGGGATAGAAGGTGCAAACAGAGGCAAATGAGGAAACAATCAAAATCAAGGATGCCATGACCAGGGTATAGTGCACAGCAGAAAACCCTCCATGTTCCTTTCCATATACTTGTTATCCTCCGCCCCTCACCTTTGTGCTGGCCCCACTGGCAATGGTGGCACTAGAGGCAGGGATAGTGCGGGGACAGATGATGCCAGGATTTGAACGGTAGAGCTCAGTCCAGCTGGTTGCAGTCACCACTTCGGCCCTTGTCGACCCCTCCCCACTTGAATTCATGCTCTGCTGCAGCAGGCTCTCGCACGTGTCCTGAGCTGAAAGCATGCCGTACTGCAAGCACCGAGGGACAGTGAAGGCGAAGGTGGTGTTGCGCTCGATGCAAAGAGAGCGGCCCGCCTTGATGGGCTCAAAGCAGTCCAGGCCGGGATTCAGAGAGGCAAGGTAAGTCGATGCGAGTCCCAGCTGGACGCTGATAGAGGAGCAGGTGTCGCCCTGGAGGATAAAGTGGGGACGGGTGGAGACAAGAGATGGTTTGCTGCAGATGATACACGTTTAAATTGTGCTGCTGTTTAATGGCCAGATACATTGCGGATGGTGAATACAATATCAAAAGATGGGGGAAAGTTTGGGGAGGAGGGAGAAATGGGGGAGTGGGTGAGTTGAAGGGGGGATGACGAGGGCGATGAGGGGAGAGGGGTGGAGGATCCCCAAAAGAAATTAATCTTCTTGGCCAGGCTCACTTTGAGGGCATAGAAGAATGCAGTGCAGGGGGTGGTGGGAGTGCCTCCCAGCTTGATCACCTTGCCCTGCGGCAAACTCTGGTTGCATGGAATGGCCTGCAATAAAAATCACATGCATAATGGATCGGAGAAATCATGTGGTGGATACACAGGTCTCATGAATTCTGAAGTTCAGTCAACAAACCTATGCGTACGTTTGTCCCTGCTGCCACCACTCACTAAGGCCATTTCCATGCAAGCGTGGCCTGCTCATTGGCCCTCTCACCATGTTCTGCGATGAGAAGCCAGCCAAGGAGACGCCGGCCACAGGGAAGACATCGGAGCACCACCAGTTAGCGCCAGTGATTATCAACATGGAGGCTGTGCTATTGGCTGGAGCAAGATGATCAGGAAGGAGGCAGGCAGGGAAGGACAGGTGTGGAGGGAATGCAGACGAGGCTACCATGGCAGAAGTTCATGCATCAAGTACTGACGACGGTGGAGCTTGACGGGCAACAAACAACCCTTGAAACTGCATTCCAACGCATCCTCATAACAAAAACACGTGAGTGAGGTTAATGTAGCAGCACCTGGGTCGCAGGTGGGGAGGTTGTCAACGGTTATGCTGCCAACGTAGTTGGGAGGGCAGATGCAGGAGTAGGCGCCCTTGCCATCATTGATGCATGTCCCCACAACGCAGGGGTTGCTAGAGTAGGAACCGCACACATCAACTGTTGGGTTTGCAGCAGGGAGGGTATGGGCGGAGATGGGTTATTAAGTTTAAAAGGAGAGGGGTTTGGGGAAGGGAGGAGGGGGGGGGGGGGGGGGGGGAAGGGGGGTGGGGGGGTGAGGGGGGCCTGGGGGAAAAAATTCAGCTTCGCAGCAAGTGTCAGTGCACCTGCGTTCAGAACCAACCCATCAAACGTGAACTCGATCCTTGACCACTGATGTAAAAGGTTAAAGGTTTACAGTCAGGCCATGGATGCCCTTGCAGCCCATGTAATCTCCACATGTACTGCAGGAGAAGAGCAGTACACAGTGGTTCAGAGAAACATTTTTGGGCTTAATCACGACTCACCATATGCACATGTCTTGGATCCCAGCCCATTTTCCACTTGAACAAATGGCTGCTTGGTCTCGTTCGGTATGGTGCAGTTGCAGGTGTTGCTGTTGGTCTTTGTGTTTGCCTGGCATGTGAAGCGACCGCACGGGTTCATGCTGGGCTGCAGATCCCCATTGCCCTTGTAGCTCTTCTGGCCGCACGGATCCTTGGGAACTGGAAGGGTGGTGGGAAGCACAGAGGAGGTGGCATGTGTGAACACGTAAGTGGGCTGAATCCATAACTGTGAAGCTTTCTCTGCCTGCTGAGGAAACACGGACAGTATACATAATGTTGCAAACAGAAACGATTGGCAATATGATGCATGCTTCACTCCTGACAATGGGGTTGATGCCTCACTCTTGACAATGGGGTAAATGCCAGGCAGCATGTTGATGCCACACACGCCAACCCCTCCCTGAATGTCCATGCGCATGTGGCCTCTGTCTCCCCACTCCACTCCCCACGAGTTCCGGATGATCCAGAACGGTGGAGCAGTTTGGCTTTGGCGGTCATTATTTGTGAAAAGGAGGTACCCAACAACGAGTACAGCATGGTCCAGGTTGCCAGTGTAGCAGGCAGGATCCTGGTACTTGAAGGTCTGGAGGAGAGAAGGAGATGGTGAGCACAGGGAAGGTAGACACAGATGCGGTCATATGAGACATGCGGTTTGCTATATCGGTTATAGCTGGCAATGAGTAGAAGTGTGGCATTTGAAGGCATCTTCTATGTGGACACGGAGAGAATTGCCAAAGGCATCTTCTATGCTGACAAGGATGATTACAAAACACGGCCACATGATGAGATGATCAGTACGCACCTCGTCATATTGTACAAACGTGGCTGCAGAGGCTTCGATGTGAACCACCACTGGCTGCCGCCGAACTGCCAGCATGAGCCCCACATAACCCTTGAACCGCGTGCGCTCAAATCCCTGAATAGGGTACTTTGATATCTGTGGATCAGAGCACACACCAGTGAATGGGAGATGAATCAACAACTGGTCGAAACAGCACGTAGATGGGTGAGGGCTGGGAGAGGAGAAGATGAAGAGAAAAGGGTACGGTCAACTGCAATCTCATTGGCCAATATTGAATTCCTAGAATCTTATCCCTTGGATAACCTGTTGTACCGCATGACTTCTAGTCTCAGAGGCCCTGTAAGCATGTCTGTTTGCATCTACTGCAGCTGCTAACTGCTCTGTACAGTCGCTCGATTATGCTTGCTGCACAGCTGTACAGCCTTGCTGGGTTACATTGGCCTCGTTCCTACCGGCTTGCTGTCTGTTGTGAGTCCACCACTGGGCAGAGTGATAAGCCTGTCAAAGGCCGCGGCAGGAGAGCCGCCTGCCATGCACTTGGCAGTGAGGGAGGTGAGCTCCATGGCTGCAAAGAGTGAGTCCACTGACAGCCGTGGCGCCTCACTGTTCAGCGCAATGCCGTACGCTGCCTCCACACTCGCCACCACCGCATACGCCCAACTCGCACCTGAAAGGGAGATGCAACACAGGAGTTCATTGAATAAAAAGGAGTATCACCGGTACAGAGAAAGTGCCAGTGGGGTAAAAAGTACCACCAAAAAACTGTCCATATACCACAAACCTTCCTCATTCCCACTCACTGCAGTCCTTCTGGTTCTTGACCGGCCAGCCAAGGAAGGGCATGGAGTCCCAGGAGTGGGAGCCGCTGACTTGCCATGCACTCTGCTGGTTGGCCAACACTAGATAGTCCGCACTCATGTAGCGCATAAAGGGACTAGCTCCCACTGGCGCATATGATGCCCCAGAGAGAGTCAGACCAAAGGCTGAGCAGGGCAAAGCAACGTGGGTTTGAGAAGAGGAAGGAGAGGCGATGGGGAGGATGTCGGTGCTTGCATGTGCTGTTCTGTTTGGATATTGGTTTACAGTCACCAGGGAGTGACGGAGAAAGAGACTGAATGGCAGCAAAGAGGGGCATACAGGCATAGATCGCTGAAGCAGAGGGAGAAATGTTTTCCTGGAAAGGGGTTGTTCACCTGGAATGATGTCTACCGGCTTGCGTGGAGCTGGAAGGCCTGCAAAAATGGAAAACACGAGGGACATACAGGAATGGCAGCCATAGATAGTTAGAACACGATCCATAACACTTGATCAGCATTCGAAATGTTCATCATCCCTGTAGCAGTCCTCCGCACCATCACCATTAGAGCTGCCCTTACCAGTGTGAACTGCCGACTTGAGGATGAGATGCATATGGAACGGCTTCACAGTGGTGGATGCCACAAAGCCAAAGAAGAACGCCCGCTGCCCTGCCCCAGCCTGCAGCACCTCACACAGCGCCAGCCTCCTCTCCAGCAGCGGCTGAGCTGGCTTCACCTCCGTGGCAGCCAGGAACACCTGGATGGTGCAGGGCTCCCTAGGCTCGTAATCCACCCACGCCGTGTACGCCTTTCTGCTGGTCAGAACAAACGGCGACTTCACAGCGGCTTTTGACTGGTCCTGGCCTTGAATGTTCAGCCCCACGTGCGGGCTGCTCATTTCGCCATGCAGCTTGTCCCGCAGCGTGTCAAACTCAACTGCCATGCTGCGGGTGTCCATGCCACCATACCCCACACCAGATCCATTCCCCACCCGGTCCGTTGCCGAGACGACAAAGGCGAAGCCGTTGTTGCCAGCATGGCCGGATTGAGGGGCGAGGGAGAAGGTGAAGTTGGCCTGGAAGGCGAGCTGCACTCCACACCCCGACACCGCCTGCCCTGCCCCGTACACAAACAGAGGCACTGGATCCGCGGTGAATTTCCCCCCTGTCTCCTTCTGCGTCCCCTTGGTGAGCAAAGTTGTTGGCGGGATAATAGACAAGCTGCCCGAGGTACTGTTGGTGGAGCCTGAGGTGCTGTTGGTAGAACCCGAGGTACTGTAGGTAGAACCTGAGGTACTGGTTGAACATGAGGTACTGTTAGTTGAACCTGAGGTACTGTTGGTAGAACCTGAGGTACTGTTGGTAGAACCTGAGGTACTGTTGGTAGAACCTGAGGTACTGTTGGTAGTACCTGAGGTACTGTTGGTAGTACCTGAGGTACTGTTGGTGGAACCTGAGGTACTGTTGGTTGAGCCTGAGGTACTGTTGGTAGAACCTGAGGTACTGTTGGTTGAGCCTGAGGTACTGTTGATAGTGCCTGCAAACATGCAAGGCACACAAGCAGAAATATTATAGGTGAGATGAAATGTGAAAATTCACAATCATGGCAGATGGTGATGAAGTGAGGCCTCTTGAGAGCAATGCCCTTGCAGTGACATCAGACGAAGAGTGCAATGCAGGGACACAGCAGAGCGCATGCCATGCAGAAAGAGTGGCCATGCCATGTTCCACCCCTTCTGCATCTGTCCCACTTCTGTGTGCGCCACCCCCAGGGAGCACCCTACCTTCAGCCACGTAGCTGAGGCTTCCAGATTGGATGTACCCCGCATCACACAGACAGGTCGGGGCTAGGGTAACCTCGTCTGGAACGCACACCCCTCTTCCACCACAAGGAGCAGCAGCGGCTTCTGCAGAGTAAGAGACGCCACAGAATGCATTGCATGATGCTTCCTGCCGCTGCACAACCTCTGCACAGCCAGAAGGCAGTGTGAAGCAGTTGCCATCGAAACTGAGAGCCTGGCATGTCCCGACCGGCAGAAGCCCGGAGAGGAAGTTGTTGGAGAGACGCCGGGTGCCGATGAGGGGCAGCGTGGGGATGGGGCCGGCGAGGTAGTTGCTCGAGAGATCCCTGGGAGAAAGGGAGGAGCGAAGGAAAGTGGAAGAAAACGTTTAGGGTGGATGATCAATGCAGCTAAATATCGCCTGCATATCGCATTATTTAGATGTAGGAGAAAGGTCCGAGGACCTATAAATTGAGCTGAGGCAAGCAAAGATTTTTCTAGTTGGTCGGAGGCTGATACTAGTAGCTAGAAACTTTCTTCACCTAGTAGGAATCGGTATGACATTAGTTTCATATATTAAAGAACTCACTAAGCATGTTTGTTTCGTTGTAACCTATCTCCACCCTTGTGCTAGACACCAACGATGCAGCTTCTTTTTTTTCCTTATTCTGGAAATTATTATTGCTGACCCTCTACGCTGTACAACTCATGATTATTATTATTAGGTTTACGGTGCAAAGGCTGGTGTGGTGACTTACAGAAAGGTGAGGTGAGTAAGCTGGGAGAAGCTGTCAGGAATGCGGCCATACAGCTTGTTTGAGGCAAGAGACCTGGTGCCCATGTGGTGGTCAGGAGGCAGGGCAGAAAGAACAGGGAGAGCCAGGTTTAAAATCATTGGAGGTAAGGTCTCGAGAATGAGGTGGGTGGCATTTAAAAGGGATAATGTAAGTTGGAACCTCAGACTTTGACAGGGATTAAGCACGTGGACACTGTTGTTTTGGCACGATCGTCAAGTGAAATAACTGGGCTGAGTCAATGAGGGCATTTCAGTGAAGCAGTGTATCCTCCGATTCTTGGTGGGAGAGAGGTGACACAGGGCGGTATGGCACATAACCCCTGACAGATAGCACAACTGATATAAGTCCCCGATACCACACGTGGGAAGCGTTTCCTTTATGGAAACATCTTGTGTAATTATGTTGGAGTTCATAGCAAAGCATGTGAGAGAAAGGAAAAAGTGTGACACAGGCAGAATCTTTAAGATCAGAGCGCGCATGAGCTTTGCCAGAGATCAAAACCGCGTAGGCACAGAGGGCATTGGTAGTGAGCAATAAATTTCAGCAGGGATGGAGCCAGAGAGCTGATTGTTATCGAGATACCTGAATGGAGCAACATGGAGACGATATGCAAGGAGATGCAGAGGCAGCAGTGAGCAGGGAAACGGTGGAGAGGTTCAGGCAGGTCACCAGGACCAAGATCTGGAACGGAGATATTGTACATTGTTGTGATACATTGGCTAGAATAGGAGGTGTAATTGATATATTTTGTTGGGTGTATGGTGTACCCTCTCCAACCATGATTTGTGGTGGGATCTTTGGCTGGGTGGTGTGGTACCCAGCAGTTCTGGCCCACAAGTAATGTTGGTCGAAACCTAACCATTGGACCCAGATATTGTTGGTCAACCCAACCAGCAATCTTATTGGGGCCTTCAGAAATTGTTTCTCGGCCCATGGTAAAGACGACCTACGTATACCTTGACACGCATGAGCTTCATCGGTACAATTCTTTCCTTTTAGCATGACGATGATTCAGCCAAGTAGCATTACTCGTTGAGAAAGACCAAGCAACCGCATTGCCCTTACCCTGTTGCCTACCTAGCTGGCGCGCGACTCACAGGCCAGTGAGTTGGGTGAGGCCACTGACACTGGCAGGGATGCTGCCTGTAAGCTGGTTGCCTGAAAATTCGCTGGAGGTTCATAATGCGAGCAATACATTTCAAGATAAATTATCAGACGAGTTTTGAGCCAAGACAAGGTCAGGGAGCGGTAGTTCAATGTGCTTGATACAGTTCATTGTGCCAAACATGGAACAAGACTTGGCACATTGACACATATAGATGCTTTCTTTTGCATCGTGTCTTTTGATATGTTCGGCTTCCTTTTACACGAGTAACGACTCCGGTCTAGGGGTAACATTACTCGGGCGAGTAATACTCGACCCTACTCGTTTTCAAAACGAGTCGGCTGAAAACGAGTCAAGTATTACTCAACTCGGTCTTTGCGCATGCCTAGCACAAGTGCAGAAGACACGATGCAAAAGAAAGCCGAACATAGTAAAATAAATGTCACTGTGTGCACACATAAGGAAAGAAGCAAACAAACCACAGGGGACAAGTCACACTAGAGCACATTGACTTGATGCCATGTTCAGGTGACACAGCAAGGGAAGTCAACGGAAGGTGATTTTCTAGAGGGAGACGAGGAGAAAAGGGAGAAATGGAGGACCGTAGCAGAGAAGGGCATTGAGAACAGGAGACGAGCAGAACAGAAGACGTATGCAAGCATGGCAGGGTTAGAATAAAATCAACAGCGATGTGGGTGAGTTAGATTGCCCATTACATGGTTGACAGCTTTGTGAGCACGCCAATGTTAGCGGGGATGGATCCCGTGAGCTGGTTGCTGGCAAAGGCACTGTTCAGGAGACGAAATTATCGGGAGGAGTGTGTAAGGGATAGGGGTAATGGTGAGGGGGGGTAAGGTAAGAGGCACAAATCTCTCCGGCTCCTAATGAAATCAAATTACACCAAAAGTATCAACCTATTTATGAAATAACTAGTGAACAATGCAGAACGGCAAAACTAGAGAAAGAAAGAGCAATATTAAAAATAAACAAATATTACACGTTCTCCACCCATCCCAATGTTCTACTAACATCCCATCAGAATTAGCAGCAGAACGGTGCCCTGAAAATAATTGACACGTGCTTCACTTGTACTTCACACGTGCCAGTCCAGTTGTCAAACATATATGCTATAGTCTGTGTAGGCTGTAGTGGGGTAGCTCATTTGGGGTACAACACTTTAGGGTTTCCTACCTGTACTCCTCATGCTGCTCAATGCAATCATTCCTCAATTCTCACATGGTATAGAGCAGGTTCCCTAGTGGGAACGTTTCCTAGGGCCCACCACTGAAAATCATTTTTTTTTTCCTGCCCGGAGCGCGCTTCCCTCCTGCCCGAGTCGCGCCCCGTGTGCCCTCCCTCCCGTCGCGTCCCTAGCCCTTAGCGGCCCGTCGCGCCCTCCTCAGGCCCCTCGCGGCCCCTTTCGCGGCCCCTCACGGCCCCTCTCACGGCCCCGTCGCCGCCCCTCTAGGCCCGTCGCGGCCCCTTCGCGGCCCCGTTGCCGCCC